GAGTCTCTCCCAGGCCCAGTCCTTAAAAGCCAGGAAGTGCCTGCATCCATGCGCCTCAGCTTTTTCCGCTAATTGTTTGCGGAACCACACAGGCTTCTGGCCTAAGTGGAGGCTCCTCCTCGCCGTCCTGCCCTAGTGTGCCAGGATCATCCCAGCTCTACCTGATGCTGCATATGCCACTTTGCAAGACATTTCTTTTTTTTTTTTTGGGACGGAGATTCGCTCTGGTCGCCCCTCAGGATGGACGTTGCAGTAGCCCAATACTGGCTCACTGCAACCTCGGCCTCCTGTATTCAAGCGATTCTCCGCCTCAACCCCCCCAAACACAGCTGAGTGATTACAAGCATGCCACCACGCACCCCGGCTAAATTTTTGTTATTGTTAGGTTAAAAAAAAAGAAAAGACAGGGTTTTTCGACCATGTTTGGTCAGGCTGGTTCAAACTCCTGACCTTAATGAATCCGCACCGCCTCGGCCTCCAAAAGTGCTGGGATTTACAGGCGTGAGCCACTGCACCTGGGCCAACCAGGACATTTCCGAAACCCTGTGCCTGCCAGACTCTGAATGTAGCCTTAGTCCTGGAGTTGCAGGCCTCTTTAGGGACCTGTCTTAGGGACGGACTTCTTGGGAAAACAAATGGAATGCTATTCATTCTGTGGTGGTATTTCAAAGCTCTTCAATGCCTTAACAAGCTGAGCTTCAAAGGCACTGGAATCCTGCAGCCTGATCTCTGCCTCTTTCACTAACACTTCAAAGTTCTGTCAATACAAACACTCAACTTTTCTTTAAACGACTATCTTTTGGCCTCAGTTTTGAAAGCCTACCAAGAAGCTCTTCCTCCACCCCACCTGGCCCCAATTGTCCAGCTTGTTGAACACGCCATTTTGCCACTCCATAGGAAAGAACCAAAGATAGTATAGCATGAAGGGATTTCCGCGTGGGAGGGGAAGGAGGGTTGGTCCTTAGGACAACCATCACCCAGACTAGAGCACCCTCCCCTGTGTCCCATGGGGCAGTGAGACTATGCAGGGGCTGGTGGAACAAGGGCTTCAATCTCAAATTACACGTGGTCTCAGTTTTCACTTTAACCCTGGATGCACTCAGAATCTGTCTGCTCACTACTGTATGACCACCTTTGCCATTAACTTACCTTGTAACTTGAGAAGGAGCTCTGTCAAAACTAGTTAGCTCTGCCACATTGTGCGCCCCTCAGTGCTGGATGAGCTCAGTGGTTCTTTGTTCACATAGACAACGCGTTGTCACACTGTGCGCAAACCTACTCCTTGACACCTTTTGTACTTCTGATCAGAACTTATGAAAAGGAGAGCCAAAAAGGGAATGAGGCAGCCAGGGAGACAGGGCTCTGCAGTCAAGTTGGGAGAGTAAGGAGGGGCCATTGTCTCTTTTGACTCCCCGTAAGCCTGATGAGCCAGGAGGAGTACTACCCAGGTGGAGCCCACAGTAGATTGGACTTGGCCTTATCCCCAGCCTCAGCCTGGTCCCCTCAGAAGAGCCATACGTGGGCCGGGCGTGGTGGCTCACGCCTGCAATCCCAGCACTTTTGGGAGGCAGGCCAGCGTGGATCACCTGAGGTCAGGAGTTTTTGAGACCAGCCTGGCCAACATGGCAAAACGCCAGCTCTTTTTTTACTAAAAACTTTACAAAAATTGGCCATGGGTGCGGTGTGCTCCACGTCTGTGAATCCCAGCATTTTGGGCAGGGCCGAGGCAGGCGGATCACAGGTTCAAGAGAGTCAGAGACCATCCTGGTCAAGATGGTGAAACGCCCATCTCTACTAAAAATACAAAAATTAGCTGGGCGTGGTGGTACGGTGCCTGCTGAAGTCCCAGCTACTCAGTAGGCTGAGGCAGTAAATCCCGGGCTTGAATCAGGGAGTCAGAGGTTGCAGTGAGCTGAGATCGTGCCACTGCCACTCCAGCCTGGCTACAGGGCCGGAGACCGCTATCTCAAAACAAACAAAAAGAAAAAAGGCTGGGCGAGTGGCTCAACGCCTGTAACCCCAGCACTTTGGAGGCCAAGGCAGGTAGATCACGAGGTCAGGAGATGGAGGACCATCCTGGCTAACACGGTGAAATCCCGTCTCTACTAAATATACAAAAAATTAGCCGGGCGTGGTGGCGGGCGCCTGTAGTCCCAACTATTCGGGAGGCTGAGGCAGGAGAATGGCGTGAACCCAGGGGGCAGAGCTTGCAGTGAGCAGAGATCGCACCACTGCACTCCAGCCTGGGTAACAGAGTGTGACTCCGTCTCAAAAAAAAAAAAAAAGAAAAATAACAAAAATTAGCTAGGTGTGGTGGCACCCATCTGTAATCCCAACTACTTGGGAGGCTGAGGCAGGAAAATCGCTTGAACCCAGGAGGTGGAGTTTACAGTGAGCCGAGATGGCGCCACTGCACTCCATCCTAGGCGACCGAGTGAGTGAGACTCCATCTCAAAAAAATAAATAAATAAAAAGAGCCATACCTTCATCGGCCACAAACCTTAACAGCTAGGACTCTGACTGTTAAGCCCTTAGTCCAAGAAGCAGACTGGAGGAGAAGGTAACTGAGGTTGCTTTCTCCTCCTTTCCCCGTCCCCACCCCATGCTGCCACAAGGACACTGCAACAGAGCAACTCAGACCATAATGATGGCTTATGACTCCAGGCCTTCAGCTCTTATTAGACACCTCATTGAGAGCATGCAAGCTTGCTGTGTGACTTGGAGCAAGTGTTTTCCTTTCCCTGAACCTCAGCATTTCGTATAGCAAATGACAGCTTTTGAAAAGAGTGCCCAGGGTCCTTAGGCTTTTCCAAGCTGATTGTGTCATTTCACTGCCTTCGCCTGTGGCCAGCTTGGGGTTGGGCAACTTTGTTTTGTTGAAATCAGTAGGGTTCCCCTTTGCTCTCTTCTGCTCTGAGAGTGACAACCTGAGGCCTTCAAAGCAGAAATAGGAAGTGCCAGCTCCAGCACTGTGGGTAGGGGACGAGGGGTCCTGTCTCTGAAGAGCCTCGTGGTTTGTTTCTTCCTCTTCCTGCTGGAGGGGGAGGTGGGAGGTGGTGTGCTCAGGCAGCACCTGGAACAGCTCCCGCTCCCAGGCTCCTTCTGCTCTTGATGCCTCACTCAATGTGGGAGGTAGGCAGGGTGGCACTTGAGGGCACACGATCCTAGAATGTGCTGCTCCAGGAAAGCAGCCCATTCTCCATTCATTCAGCAGACAGCGATTGGGTACTTCTGGGCCACAACAGCCAGTCCCTGCCCTCCTCATGGGACCTATGTGTTATTGTGGCCAGGAAACCATGGCAAGTAAGCAGACGAGCAAGAGCACAGGCTGGCGTGTGTTTCAGAAGATACACGTGGGCCGCGTGTCCCCAGCCCCCCAGAGCACATAGATCCCACGAGGAGGGCCTGGAGAGCACCCACACAGAAGGAAGAGCAAATGCCCGGAGCCCCAAGTTGGGAACAAGCTCAGCATGACCTAGAAACTGAAAGCAGGCAAGTGGCTGGCAGACCCACAGCCTGGGCAAGCGGGACACCCTGGGGCAGGCTGGACCCACGTGGCCTTCCTCTGTCCCTTCCTCCTCCCTGGCCAGCTTACCTCACACTTGCGCACACACCCAGCTTCCTTCCTGGGGGCCCTGATGGCACCTCAGAGTTACCAAGTGGGCCACTTCCCGCCTTCTCAGGACTCCCACCCCTACCAGAAAGAGAGCCGAGGTACTTACTGCCCCCTTCCAGAAAGCTCTGGCCTTGTAGACCAGTGTGCACCTGGAACAGCATCTTTCCCCACCTGATGGGACCTCGATGAGGCCGGAGAGCCTCACAGGGAGTGAGGGGAAGAGACTGGGACTGAGAGTCTGCGGGGTATTCACCTCTCTGGGCCTTAGTTTCCTCACCTGGATCACAAGGGCCATGGGCTTGGGCTTGATGGGCGTTCAGGACGCATCCCAATGACGACCCTGTGTGAGGGATGACCCAGCGGCCCCCGCCCCCGCTTTCCTCGGAACTTTTCTGGGCTGACTTCCCCATTGGTGTGATAAGATTCTTGCTGTGTCATGATGATGTTGGCACTTCCCCAAAGCCCCGGTGACTCATGAGCCCCTGGGTATAGGAGGGAGGCCCTTTTTTTGGTTTTTCAGCTGAACTAACTCAGCAGCCCCCAGGTTCTCTGGCCCCAGTGGCCAGGAACCAACTGGGCCCTTGCCAAGGCCCAGGGCTCCACCCAGGGAGTCTGGGCAGGTCCTTGAACCCAGTGACCCTTGGGGATGGGATGGCCCACCCTTGCTGGCCCTCCAGCAGGCATTGCACTCTACCATGAAACACTCATGCCAAGACAAGGGCTGCAGCGATTTGGGTTTATAAAACAGACAGGTCATGTCCCAGGTCCCTTTGCCCTGGCCTAGCCAGACATCGATAGTTGGAGATCTTCATCATGTCTTGCTTCTGCTAAGTCACCTTGTGTCCTTGGGCAGATCCCTCCCTTGCCGTGGTCCTCAGGAGAGAGGAGGGCATGGGGAAGAGGAGAAGCTCCCAGCTGCTTTTCACTAAGGACCCCTTGAATTGTCCCCACCCATGTGATGCGAGTAGACCCCTGACCAAGCTGTCAGGTTTCCCGATGTTTTTTCGTGTTTGTTCCTCCAGAAAATCCCACTAGAGCGTCGCAGTCAGCTGGGAGGGCAGGGCTACCCCTGAGCCCTCAGGAGAGCAGCTGAGTCCGGCTCAGCTTAGCTTAGCTTAGCTCCCCATAACCATGGGAGGGAGCGGCCTGCCTTCCCCCCTCCCCCGGCTGTCCTCCGACTTACCTCACCTCGCCTCTCAGGTGACTTGGAGCCCAGCAGATAGTCGGTTGCAGGGGCTGAGCTGAAACAAGGTGAGCAGGTTCAATCTGCAGTTAATCCCAAAAGGAGCAGCAGAAACAAACAGCCTGGAGCGTGGGGCTGCTGTGACTCAGCACCTTTCTGCCACCAGCACCTTTCTGGAGTCTGTCCCGATGCCTCCCAATCTTCTGGAATTTGGTCATGAGCAAACATGACCTGCTTTGGGTGAGGCTTAGAGGTATTTGCAGGCTGTGGTTCTTACCGTTTATTTCAGGGTCCAGTTCCCAGCAAGCTGGTCCTTTCTGTGTGTGGGGCCAACCGTGAGTTGATGTGACGTGGGCAGTGTTCCCCTCCCCAGCCCCGCTTATGGCAGGGTGCTGTGAGGAGCTGAATGGAGGAGCTCCTACCCCAAGGTGAGGGGTCGTCTGCTGGACTTTGAAGGATGCAGCAGTGAGAGGTCCATGTGGCTGCAGTCCTGGCACTGAGCTCACCTGAGGAGGGTCGGAAGCGGAGCAGGGCCCCTGAAGAGCGCAAGCACACAAGGAACCCACACTATAGCAATTTCCCTCCTGGAAGCCCTCTGGTGGCTTCCTAACCGCCTGGCTCTGGGCGGGTGCATTTGTCCTGGTGGCTTGGCCCCCATTCTGTAATGGTTTGCAGAAATGGACCCATCCATGGTTGCAGTGCCTGATCGCTTTGAAGGGCATGTCTTCTTTTTTCGTGAGATGGAGTCTTGCTGTCATCCAGGCTGGAGTTTGGTGGCGCGATCTGGGCTCACAGCAACCTCCGTATCCCGGATTCAAGCAATGCTCTTGCCTCAGCCTCCCGAGTAGCTGGGATTCCAGGTGCCTGCCACTACGCCCGGCTAATTTTTGTTTGTTTGTTTGAGATGGAGTCTTGTTCTTTCACCAGGCTAGAGTGCAGTGGCGTGATCTTGGCTCACTGCAGTCTCCACCTCCAGGGTTCAAGCACTTCCCCTGCCTCAGCCTCCCGAGTACCTGGGACTACAGGCGCGCACCACCACACCTGGATAATTGTTTGTATTTTAGTAGAAATGGAGTTTCACCATGTTTGCCAGGCTGGTCTCGAACTCGTGACCTCAGGTGATCCACCCTCCTCCGCCTCCCAAAGTGCTGGGATTACAGACGTGAGCCAGCACGCCCAGACTATTAGTTTTTACTGTGTTTTAATGAAATATATGTCATGGGCCGGGCATGGTGGCTCACGCCTGTAATCCCAACACTTTGGGCAGCCACAGCAGCTGGATCACAAGGTCAGGAGTTCGAGACCAGCCTGGCCAACATGGGGAAACCCCATCTCTAGTAAAAATGCAAAAATTAGCAGGGTATGGTGGCAGGTGCCTGGAGTCCCAGCTGCTCAGGAGGCTGAGACAGGAGAATCACTTGAACCCAGGAGGTGGAGATTTCAGCGAGCCGAGATGGCACCACCGCACTCCAGCCTGGCCGGCAGAGTGAGACTCCATCTCAAAAAAAAAGAAAAGAAAATATATGTCGGCCGGGCGCGGTGGCTCAAGCCTGTAATCCCAGCACTTTGGGAGGCCGAGACGGGTGGATCATGAGGTCAGGAGATCGAGACCATCCTGGCTAACACAGTGAAACCCCATCTCTACTAAAAAATACAAAAAAAACTAGCCGGGCGAGGTGGCGGGCGCCTGTAGTCCCAGCTACTCGGGAGGCTGAGGCAGGAGAATGGCGTGAACCCGGGAGGCAGAGCTTGCAGTGAGCTGAGATCCGGCCAATGCACTCCAGCCTGGGCGACAGAGCAAGACTCCGTCTCAAAAAAAAAAAAAAAAAAAAGAAAATATATGTCATGAACACCACGAATGGTGCAGGTCTAGCTTGTTGATGACTTTTCACAAACTCAGCACAGCCACAGAAACTGCTCCTAGATCAAGAAACAGAATATGCTCTGCACCCAGGAAGCCCCCTCACCTGGGGCCCTCACAGTCACTGGCCCCCAAAGGGTGATTTCTGACCCACTGCCCACCCTCCGCTTCATTGTTGGTTTTCTCGCCCTCTTTTGTTGGTGCGCAAATCTTAACTGTGCAATTGGCTCTACACCCTCATCACAATAAAGGCCATTGTCATCTCCCCAGAAAGTTCCTGGGTACCCATTCCCAACCAGTCTGCCCCTGCTCCAGGCAACTGCTGATCCGATTTCTGTCACAATGGATTGGTTTTGCCTATTCCAGAACTCCATGTGAGGGAGCTCACAGAGGATTGCATCTCTGATGCTGTGATTTCCCAGTGTTGCTGCGTAGTATCCATTGTATGAATGCACAGTTTGCTGGGTCACGTATTAATTCAAATGTTTGACATGTTTCCAGTTTGGGGCCGCTATGAACTAAGGCTACTGTGACCATTCATGTGCAGGTCTTTGTGTAGACTTGCGCTTTCATTTCTCTTGGGTACTACCTAGAGTGGAACGGCCAGGTCACATGCTAGGTGTGTGTTTCACTTGATCAGAGGCTTGCAGACTGTCGGGGAGCACCCGCACCACCTCACAGTTCAACCTTAGCTGTTTTCATTTTCTTGCCTTACTGCACTTTTCTTGTTCCTGATTGCTTAAAGGAATTATTAATATTTCAACATTTCCCATAAGTGTGATGCTTGTAGTATTTGTAAGGATGATGGTTTTGGGCGTTTTTATTGTTTTTTGTTTGTTTGTTTGTTTGTTTTTTGAGATGAAGTCTAGCTTTGTTGCCCAGGCTACAGTGGTGCGATGTTGGCTCACTCCAACCTCTGCGTCCTGGGTTCAAGCGATTCTCCTGCCTCAGCCTCCTGAATAGCTGGGATTACAGGCGTACATCACCACGCCCAGCTAAGTTTTGTATTTTTAGTAGAAATGGGGTTCCACCACGTTGGTCAGGCTGATCTCAAACTCCTGACCTCAAGCAATGCCCTGCCTTGGCCTCCCAAAGTGCTGCGATTACAGGCGTGAGCCACCACGCCTAGCCATAATGGTATTTTATAGATGCCCTTTATCAAGTTAATGAAGTTCCCTTGTATTCCTCCTCTGATAAGAGTTTTATCATGAATAGGTAATTTCTGAAACACTTTATCTACATTTGTTGGGTTAAGCAAGATTGCTAGATTTAAACAATCAAAATAGCAGTAGGCAGAGAGTTCTTAGAGGTTTTTTTTTTAATCTCCTAATACAGTGAATTTCAATGATTGATTTTTTTCCTATGTTAATATCAAACCAACTTTTTAATTACAGAATAAACCCAACTTGGTTGTGATGTGTTACCATTTTTAACATTGCAGGATTTGGTTTGCTGATGTTTTCTTTCTTTTTTTTAAAGAGACAGGGTTAGTGGGGCACAGTGGCTCATGCCTGTAATCCCAACACTTTGGGAGGCTGAGGCGGGCAGATCACTTGAGCCCAAGAGTTCAAGACCAGCCTGGGCAACATGGGGAAACCCTGTCTCTACAAAAAATATAAAAAATTACCTGGGTGTTTTGGCATGTACCTTTCAGTCCCAGCTACTCTAGAGGCTGAGTTGGGAGGATTGCTTGAGCCCAGGAGGCAGAGGTTGCGGTGAACTGAGATTGTGCCACTGCACTCCAGCCTAGATGACAGAGTAAGACCATGTCTTAAAAAAAAGGGGGGGGTCAAAAAAGAAAAACTCCTGGGTTCAAGCAATCCTCCCACCTTGGTATCCCAAAGTGCTGGGGTGTGTGAGCTGTGCCCAGCCTGCTGATATTTCATGTGGGATTTCTGCATCTGCATGTGTGTGTGAATGAGGCGTGTGGGTTTTCCCATGTGCCTTTCTCATCAGGTTTCCATACCAGAGCTCTGTAGGCCCTATAAGGTGGCTTGGGAAGTGTTCCACTTTCTTCCTTCTGCAGGAAGAGTGTGCTTCAGGCTGGAATTCTCTTGTGCTTGCATTTTGGTAGAACCCACTGGCAACACTCTATGCGAGGGGATGGTTTATGTAGGAAGATTTGTGGCCATTGTCCCCTCTCAGGTCCATTGCTCTGTTTTTTGTTTGTTTGAGATGGAGTTTCGTTCTTGTAGCCCAGGCTGGAGTGCAATGGCTTGATCTTGTCTCACCGCAACCTCCATCTCCCAGGTTCAAGCAATTCTCCTGCCTCAGCCTCCTGGGTAGCTGGGATTACAGGCATGGGCCACCATGCCCAGCCAATTTTGTATTTTTAGTAGAGACAGGGTTTCTCCATGTTAGTCAGGCTGGTCTCGAACTCCTGACCCCAAGTGATCCGTCCGCCTCGGCCTTCCAAAGTGCTGGGACTATAGGCGTGAGCCACCGTGCCTGGCTGTTTGGTGGTTTTCTTGTTTTTTTGTTTTTCGAGACGGAGTTTCACTCTTGTTGCCCAGGCTGAGGTGCAGTAGTGCAATCTTGGCTCACTGCAACCTCCACCTCCCGGGTTCAAGTGATTCTTCTACCTCAGCCTCCCGAGTAGCTGGGATTACAGGCATACGCCACCTTGCCCAGCTAATTTTTGTATTTTTAGTAGAGATGGGGTTTCATCATGTTGGCCAGGATGGTCTCAATCTCTTGACCTCATGATCCACCCGCCTCGGCCTCCTAAAGTGCTGGGATTACAGGTATGAGCCACCACGCCCAGCCTGTTTCTTTTTTTATGGAATCTCGCTCTTTTGCCCAGGCTGGAGTGCAGTGGTGTAATCTCGGCTCACTGCACCCTCCACCTCTGGGTTTCAAGCAATTCTCCTGCCTCAGCCTCCCAAGTAGCTGGGATTACAGGCTTTATTTATTACAGGGATTATTAGCCACCACACCTGGCTGATTTTCCTGTTTTAGTAGAGACAGGGCTTTGCCAGTTGGCCAGGCTGATCTCAAACTCCTGACCTCAGGTGATCCGCCTTGGCCTCCCAAAGTGCTGGATTATAGGCGTGAGCCACTGTGCCCAGCCCCATTGGTCTGTTTTAGTAGGTTGGATTTTTCTAGAAATTTGTCCATCTCATCTAGGTTGTCAGACAAGGAATAAAATTCATAAAACCCTCTCTTGTTTCCTGTCTGGGGTTTTGTCTTATTGTACCAGTTGTTTATGCCCTTTTAAAAAAGCAGCCATGCCAGACGGTTGTCTGTTTCTATTAGTCTTTTTCAAACACCAACTTCCGGCTTTGTTCATCTTTTCTTTGGGTTAGCTTTTCATTTTATTAATTTTACTTGTCATTATTTCCTTCCTTGTAATTTGGCTTGCAATTCTATGCTTTTTCTCACCTTTTTTTTTTTAATTTTTGGAGATGGAGTCCCACTGTTGTCACCCAGGCTGAAGTGCACTGGCACAATCTCAGCTTACTGCAGCCTCTGCCTCCCGGTTCAAGTGATTCTCCTGCCTCAGCCTCCTGAGTAACTGGGATTGCAGGTGCCCACCACCACACCTGGCTAATTTTTGTATTTTTAATAGAGATGGAGTTTTGCCACATTGGCTGATCTTGAACTCCTGACTTCAGGTGATCTACCCACCTCGGCCTCCCAAACTGCTGGGATTATTTGTGTGAGCCACTGCGGCCTGGCCCTTTTTCTCACTTCTTAAGTGAAATGCTTAGCTCCTTATTTTTGAGCCACTCTTTTTTGCTAATGTAAGCATTTGAGGTCACATCTCACAAATTTGGCTACATGATACTTCTGTCGTCCCTTAGTTCTACTGAATTGAATTTTCAGGTTTTCTTCTGGAACACAGGAGATGCGTTTATGCCTTCTGGGTCAGGGGTGGAGAGCTGGCACAGGCTTGAATCTCGGGGCTCTTCTGTCTGTATATCAGGCAAGACAGATATGCTTATGGCCCAGTAGTGATCCTGAGTAGTGCCCAGATCACCAAGGGTGGAGGATGATGTATGTAGGTTGTGTCCCCAGCCACTTCTAACCACACACCTATTCCCTCTGCCACAGGGTGACCTGGCCAAGAAGAAGATCTACCCCACCGTCTGGTAAGTGTGTCCCCCCACTGCCCTTGTGACCTCCCGCCAGGGACAGGCCTGGTCCTGCCCTGCCCGCACTGGTTACGGCTGTTCTGCCCTCAGGTGGCTGTTCCGGGATGGCCTTCTGCCCGAAAACACCTTCATCGTGGGCTACGCCCGCTCCCGCCTCACAGTGGCTGACATCCGCAAACAGAGTGAGCCCTTCTTCAAGGTGAGTGGCCTCAGGGCCTCCCCCGGCCTGGTTCTGCCCTCTCTGCCAGCCCCCAGCATGGCCAGCTTCAGGTGGCCACCAGGGCACCTCCCCCCATCCCATCCCAGGATGTTCTCCTTGCCTCCTGCCCCGCCCCCCCCCCCCCCGCTCTTGTACTTCCTTGAGACCCCCATTACCAGCTCCATGACCAGGACTCACGGGTCCTATCCTGTTGTGCTCTGCTGCGTTTTCTCTGCCAATCACAGTTAGGTGTCATGATTTTGGAGAGAGCTTTCTCCAGTGTATTTCTCCCAGGTCAAAATGTCCTGAAATCTGGCCTGTGTCCTAAGGCACAAGGGTCCCAGCCTGGGACAGTGTCTGTGCTGCCTCCTTTGGCCTCCCTCTCTCTGGATGTGCAGAGCTGCTGAGATGGGGCTGAACCCAGTGTGGGATGGGGACACTGACTTCTGAGGGCACCCTCCCTGGGCCTCCAGGGAAGACCCTCCACTTCCCTGGGACAACACACACGAACTCCAAGACAGGGGCTGACATCTGTCTCTGTCTGTCCGTCCGTGTCTCCCAGGCCACCCCAGAGGAGAAGCTCAAGCTGGAGGACTTCTTTGCCCGCAACTCCTATGTGGCTGGCCAGTACGATGATGCAGCCTCCTACCAGCGCCTCAACAGCCACATGAATGCCCTCCACCTGGGGTCACAGGCCAACCGCCTCTTCTACCTGGCGTTGCCCCCCACCGTCTACGAGGCTGTCACCAAGAACATTCACGAGTCCTGCATGAGCCAGATGTAAGGCTTGTCCTTGCCGTCCCTTCCTGCCTCTCAGGCTGGCCCAGGCAGTGCTCCCCACCGAGATTGTGTCCGGGGCCGGGGATCTAGGCAGCCTGTCTGTCCCCTGCAGCATCCATGGTGCCGGGGCCATCCCCACTGGGACCACAAGGTGGCAGCATCGCTCCACGAAACGCTCACCACCTGCCTGCTCTGCTTCCCCAAAGGCCCGGCCAGGCCGCAGGGTGGCAGCCTCGCTCCGCGAGTGCAGCATGGCCCACGCTGAGTGGTTTCCCAACCCAGGCAGAGGCTCTTGTTTTCTGGCTGGCTTTGAATGCAGGGGTAGTAAAGCAAGGGTCCTCTTCTCATTTTCAAACCAATGAGAAAGCCATGCCTTGGACGCCTCCTCCTTCTGCTCCCCTATGGGCCTTCAGGCTACTCCAACCCACTGGGGACCCAGCATGAGGCAGGAGGGGAACGGGCCCCCAGCAGCATGCCAGCAACACCACCCTAGCACCTAGGGTAGGAAGGCTTCCCAGAAGGTGTTGAGCCAGAGGGTCACCTGGGAACACAAGGCAGGGGAGGTGGCCATGGAGGTGAGGAGTTTCTGACCCCTACTCCCCTGGGAGGGCACCTGAATGATGCAGCTCTGACCCTCACTCCCTGAAGAGAGGGGTTCAAGGGGGTAACACAGCTCCGGGCTCCCAGCAGAGGCTGGAACCGCATCATTGTGGAGAAGCCCTTCGGAAGGGACCTGCAGAGCTCCGACAGGCTGTCCAACCACATCTCCTCCCTGTTCCGCGAGGACCAGATCTACCGCATCGACCACTACCTGGGCAAGGAGATGGTGCAAAACCTCATGGTGCTGAGGTGGGGCCAAGCCCTGGCTGGGGGACCAGGGTGGGGGTGGTGCTCAGGAGCCTCACCTGGCCCACTGCCTCCCCGAGGACGTATTCCTCCAGAACTAGGACAAGGGTGACCCCTCACATGTGGCCCTTGCACCACAGAGGACCAAGGGCGGTTTCTCCACCTTGCCCCTCCCCGCAGATTTGCCAACAGGATCTTTGGCCCCATCTGGAACCGGGACAACATCGCCTGCGTGATCCTCACCTTCAAGGAGCCCTTTGGCACTGAGGGTCGTGGGGGCTATTTCGATGAATTTGGGATCATCCGGTGAGAGCTCTTCCCCTTTCCTGGGAGGCTGGCACAGGGTGGCAGAGCCAGTAACCCTGCAGGGCTGCCCTTCCCTGTCTTGGGGAGCTCCTCCTCACCATGCAGTTCAAAACCTGAGTGTCTGAGCTGTCAGACGGGGCTGGAAAGGGCTGGACCCCAACTCAGCCAAGCACCCCAGGGTTTCATGATTCAGTGACAGCATCACCATGTCCTTCCTTGATTTGAGGGGACCTGGAAGACAAGGGGGGCCAGGAAGTGAGTCTTGCAGCTTGTCACTAGGAAGCCTTGTTTGGGGCCCCCACGCCCTTGAACCAGGTGAACAGGGCCGGGAGCTAAGGCAAGCCCCGGCCTCTTCTGTCCCCAGGGACGTGATGCAGAACCACCTCCTGCAGATGCTGTGTCTGGTGGCCATGGAGAAGCCGGCCTCCACCAACTCGGATGACGTCCGTGATGAGAAGGTGGGGGGTCCCCAGGACCACGCCCCGTCGCGGGCCCATCTGTGACGAGGCACTGAGCAGGGGTGTGCATGTAGAGCAAGTGTCCTCAACCCTGGAGAAGTCACCAGCTCTGAGCACAGCTTGGCCTCCCAGAGGTGACCTGGACTGGCAGTCACGAAGCCCAAGTTGTCATGTCCCAGGTCTGACAGTCACTGTGTGACTAGGGAAGGCCGTTGCCTCTCTGGGCCTCAACTTGTCCATCAGAATAGACTTGAGATGGACCAGGGTGGTCCTGGAGGGCCCTCAGGGAGGGGCCCTGAGCTGGGCCTCTGGCAAGGTGAGCAGAGCCAAGCAGGGGCCTTCTCCTGCCCTGAGGGCTGCGCATCTGTGGCCAGAGTCATCCCTGCACCCCAGCTCAACACCCAAGGGGCCCATTCTCTCCCCTGGCTTTCTCCCAGGTCAAGGTGTTGAAATGTATCTCAGAGGTGCAGGCCAACAATGTGGTCCTGGGCCAGTACGTGGGGAACCCCGATGGAGAGGGCGAGGCCACCAAAGGGTACCTGGACGACCCCACGGTGCCCCACGGGTCCACTACCGCCACTTTTGCAGCCGTCGTCCTCTATGTGGAGAATGAAAGGTGGGATGGTAGGTGACGCCTTCAAGGCCCAGCAAGGCAGAACTGGGCATGCCCTCGGGAGACACCCCTCGCTGGGGTCAGACCTGCTTGCTGCTGGGCAGGGGAGCCAGCCGTGCGGGACACGGGATCCTGCTACAGTTGCTTTCACGTTTGCCTGTGTGGGCACTGGAGCTCCCACTGAGACACTCACGCCCTGGTCCATACCCCGAGAGCTGGTGCTGAGGCTGCCCTTTCTGCCACGCAGGAGTGCCCTTCATCCTGCGCTGTGGCAAGGCCCTGAACGAGCGCAAGGCTGAGGTGAGGCTGCAGTTCCATGATGTGGCCGGCGACATCTTCCACCAGCAGTGCAAACGCAACGAGCTGGTGATCCGCGTGCAGCCCAATGAGGCCGTGTACACCAAGATGATGACCAAGAAGCCGGGAATGTTTTTCAACCCCGAGGAGTCGGAGCTGGACCTGACCTACGGCAACAGATACAAGGTGCCCCACAGAGAAGGAGCAGCGTGGAGGGTGGGGGGCCTGGACCCGGGGGACTCAGCATGGTGGCAGGCAGTGACATGAGTGAGACACCCTCACCCTCACAGAACGTGAAGCTCCCTGACGCCTACGAGCGCCTCATCCTGGACGTCTTCTGTGGGAGCCAGATGCACTTCGTGCGCAGGTGAGGCCCAGCTGCTGGCCCCTGTGTGCCTGTGGGGAATGGGGTGGCCTTTGCCCTCCCTCCTTCCCTGTGTGCCAGCCTCCCAAGCCCCACACCATGTACCCTCAGCGACGAGCTCCGGGAGGCCTGGCGTATTTTCACTCCACTGCTACACCAGATCGAGCTGGAGAAGCCCAAGCCCATCCCCTACCTTTATGGCAGGTGAGGAAAGGGTGGGGTCTGGGGGCAGAGCCCAGCAGGCAGGGGCGGGTTGAGGGCGGAGCTGCCTCATGCCTCTCCTCCACCCGTCACTCTCTAGCCGAGGCCCCATGGAGGCAGATGAGCTGATGAAGAGAGTGGGTTTCCAGTATGAGGGCACCTACAAGTGGGTGAACCCCCACAAGCTCTGAGCCCTGGGCACCCACCTCCACCCTCGCCATGGCCACCTTCCTTCCCGCCGCCCAACCCTGAGTCGGGAGGACTCTGGGACCATTGGCCTCAGCTGCACATTCCTGGCCCTGGGCTCCGGCCACGCTGGCCCGCCCCTCGCTGCTGCCACTACCCAAGCCCAGCTACATTCCTCAGCTGCCAAGCACTCGAGACCATCCTGGCCCCTCCAGACCCTGCCTGAGCCCAGGAGCTGAGCCACCTCCTGCGCTCACTCCAGCCCAACAGAAGGAAGGAGGAGGGTGCCCATTCGTCTGTCCCAGAGCTTCTCGGTCACTGGGGCTCACTCCTGAGTGGGGCCTGGGGCAGGAGGGAGGGACGAGGGGGAGGAAAGGGGCGAGCGCCCACGTGAGAGAACCTGCCAGCCTCAGTGCCACTTGACATTCCTCGTCACCAGCAACATCTTGAGCCCCCTGGATGTCCCCTGTCCCACCAACTCTGCACTCCGTGGCCACCCTGTGCCACCCATAGGCAGCCTCCCTGTTACAAGAAAAGCAGAAGCAGCAGCTGGGACTCCTGCCAACCTCAATCCCCTGCCATTAAATCCGCAAACAGCCCCTCCTGTCCCCTTGTCATTTGCTTCCCTGAGGACCCATTTCCTCGTCCCACTCCCTGAGTCACCCGGGTGTTTCCTCACCTCTCGTTCTGACCCCATGTCCAGCCGTGACCATGCCTGGTGTCGGAGACACTTCTTGAGTTCCCCTCCACTCCACGCATATTGTCATTGTGAGACCGGCTTGAGGTGCAAGGACGTGGGGTCACCTTCCACTCTTACTGTCCATGTCCCTGCCCCACCCAAGATGGTTTTCGGCAACACTGCCAGTCCACAGATCCCAGAAGTATTTAGGAAGGAGAGAGGGTGGGTTTTGTAACTGATATCAGAGGCCAAGGGGGATGGGATGGTCCACAGTGATACACAGCTACGGCCCGGCCGCCCCTTCCAGGCAGAAGGGCCCGAGTTTGGGGGCTGCCAAGGCACGTAACCAAGTGCCACACACCGGGCAGCTCTCAGCATAGGCTGATTTTCCCAGTTCTGGAGGCCAGAGTCCATGTTCCAGCACTCTCGTCAGAGGCCCAAGGGGAGGGTCCTTCCTGCCCTCTCCAGCTCCTGGGGAACCAGGCATCTTGGGCTGGTGGTCACCTCACTCCACTCACTCTGCCTGTCTTCTCATGGTCTCACCATGATATGGCTTCTCCTCTTCTGTGTCCTCGTAAGGACACCACTCCAGTATGACCTGCTTCTAACTCAAGTTAATGATATCTGCAGACCACCTATTTCCAAATAAGGTCACATCGGGAACTCCCAGGAGACATGCATTTGGGGGCCGCTGTTCAGCCCGTACACTGCTCCCCACACGGGCAGCAGCCCCTGAGTGTCTCAGTGCAGCATGTGTCGTGCCAGGGAGATGGCAAGACCAGACGCTATGGTGCAAGACCTGTACTCGTGGCCTCGGTTCTAGGAGGTGAGGCCAGCAGGGAACAAAATGACCAGGTGGTGCTGGGCTTTGTCCTTTGCGGAGAGCAAACCAGTGGCCTGGAAGTGGCCAGGCAGGAGTGTTCTACCTGCAGCACGGGTGAGAACGCACACCCTGGGCCCTGCAGGTAGCAGGGCCCGATGTCCTAGGATGAAGGAAGCCTCTAGTGAGACCTGTGGCAACAGGGACACACACGCTGCATCCCGGTGTTCAATTCCTGCTCTTCCTGTCCCCTGCATGGGGAGTGGCACCTCTGAGTTTTCAGAGGGAGGAAGTATACGAAGTTCACCTGGACCCTAGATAGGTAAAGGAGTTTGATGAGGGCCAAGGCCAGGTCATGGGCTCTTATGGGCTCTGTGTGCATAAGATTGGAGGCCAAGCTTCGGCCACGGGGCAGTGGTTTTAGTCCTCTGTCCTGGTTCCTGTGGCCTCCAGAAGGGGCTGTGGCAAGGCTGAAAGCTGGGTTGGGCTGGGGACTGATGGGGTATGGCAAGGCTAAGCAGGTTAGATTCCAGGACAGGGCACGACCCCCAAGTAAGACTGGGTGTAGCAGCTCACGCCTGTAATCCCAGCACTTTGGGAAGCCAAGGTGGGCAGATCACTTGAGGCCAGGAGTTCAAGACCAGCCTGGCCAACATGACAAAAATATGTCCCTACAAAAAAAGATACAAAAATTTGCCGGATGTGGTGGCGGGCACCTGTGGTCCCAGCTACTTGGGAGGCTGAGGCAGGAGAATCATTTGAACCTGGGAGGTGGAGGACCATCCACTGGCACCCGAACTCAACAGGCAACTGTCCCTTCAGCTCTGAGCACCTACTTGGGTGGAGGCAGGAGGTCCCAGGTGAGGGCAGTGCTGGGGCCACAATGGGAGAGAAATGAGAGATCAGGCCAGGGCATTCCATTGTTGCCTCAGTTGCGCGTGCCTACACTGAGACAGGGACATAAGCCCCAGAAAACACACTACAGGAGCTGTACCCTGAACAAGAAGGCAGTCCTCCCCAGCCCCCTGGAGCTTACAGGAGCACTGAGGCCCTTGCCTGTGAGCCCAGATCCACCCTGGTCCATTCCACGGGGTGACTCACTAAGCCTGCCCGACCCCTGCTGACCAGTTCAAGGCTGGAGCCTTGTTTTCACCCCTTCTCTGTCTGCAATGCCAAATAGTTCAGCCACAATTTGCTTTTTTTGTTGTTGTTGGAGACTGGATCTCACTCTGTTGCCCAGGTTGGAGTGCAGTGGCTCAATCACAACTCACTGTAGCCTCCGCCTCCCAGGCTCAGGCATCCACCTACCTCAGTTTCCTGAGTAGCTGGGTCTATAGGCGTGAGCCACCACGCCTGGCCTGCAGTGTCCTTTTTTTCTGAGATGGAGTCTTGCTCTGTCACCCAGTCTGGTGTATACTGGTGTGATCTTGCCTCACTGCAACATCCACCTTCTGGGTTCAAGTGATTCTCCTGCCTCAGTCTCCCAAATAGCTGAGGCTAAAGGTGTATGCCACCACGCCCGGCTAATTTTTGTATTTTTAGTAGAGACAGGGTTTCATCGTGTTGGGCAGGCTGGTCTCGAACTCCTGACCTTAGGTGATCCACCCGCCTCAGCCTCCCAAGCTGCTGGGATTACAGATATGAGCCACTGCGCCCGGTCTGGCAATTTACCGGGTTTTTTGTTTGTTTTTGTGTGGGGTTTTTTGTTGGTTTGTTTGTTTTTGAGACAGAGTGTGGCTCTGGCACCCAGGCTGGAGTGCAGTAGCACGATCTCGGCTCACTGCAACCTCTACCTCCTGGGTTCAAGCGATTCTCCTGTCTCAGCCTCCTGAGTAGCTGAGATTACAGGTGCGCACTACCATGCCCAGCTAATTTTTACTTTTAGGAGAGACGGGGTTTCCCCATGCTGGCCAGGCCGATCTCGAACTCCTTACCGCGTGATCCATCTGCTTCAGCCTCCGAAAGTGCTGGGATTACAGGCGTGGGCCACCGTGCCTGGCTGCAATTTAGTCTTTTTTTTTTTTTTTTTTTTTTTTTTTTAGATGGAGTCTTGCTCTGTCACCAGGCTGGAGTGCAGTGGCACAATCTCAGCTCACTGCAACCTCCACCACCTGGGGTCAAGCGATTCTCCTGCCTCAGCCTCCCGAGTAGCTGGGACTACAGGTGTGCGCCACCACACACAGCTAATTTTTGTATTTTTAGTAGAGACAGGGTTTCACCATGTTGGCCAGGATGGTCTCGATCTCTTGACCCCATGATCCACCCGCCTCGGCCTCCCAAAGTGCTGGGATTACAGGCGTGAGCCACTGCACCCGGTCAACAATTTACTCTTAAGTGCACTCTACCTCGTGGGTCTTCAGAGGCCCTGGATTGGTGCCTCATCTCTCAAGGTTTCACCCCACGTGGGAGTGGGCAGGAACTGGAAAGAGCCCCCCTGCCAGACCTCTGACACTCGCAGTGTACTCAGAGCTTCACCTCCCAGCCCAGACCTGCAAATTAAGCCAGAGGAGAATTTCAAACCTAGCCTGACCCCTTCACACTGAGTCCCAGGTGCCACAGCAGCACAGACCCAAATGCCTTAGCTCCTCTGCTGCCAGTGTCTGACATCACATCAATTTGCGTCCAGCAACCACTGAAACCAGCAATGTGAGAAGCCCAGAGAGTACTTAAAACTCTCTCCAGCTCCTCTCCCTCCTTCCATCCGAGCCTGGCCCACTGCTCGGTGGCTGAGCCAGAAAGGGATGGGAGTGGAGAAGGGGTCTTCAGGCTGAGCTGCGTGGCGGCGACTGTTGCGTTGTCTGCTCTGAGGAGCAGAAAAGGAGAGGGAGGGGCACAAATGGGGCGGGGCTGACTTGGGGCCTTGATTTTCTAGGCTCACCACTGCCCTCTCCCTGTGAGAAGCAGCCGGAAGGGATTGTAGCCGGAAGGGATTGTCCTTCCTGTGCTCCAGGAGGAGAAGCTGAGAAACTCAGCTATGAGACCTGACCAGACCATCCCAGGACCACACCCAGACATACAGGCCAAAGCTGGGGTCCCTGAGAGGGCCTCTTGCCTCCTAGAGCTTCACTGCTTTCCCCTGCTAGAACACTTGAGGAAGCTTTGAGGGAACAAGAAGCAGACTGAATTCTGGCTTTCAGTAAGGACAGTTAGACTCTATGGCTGGACACAGTGTCTCACTCCTGTAATCCCAGCACTTTGGGCATGTTGCTTGAGCCCAAGAGTTCGAGACCAGCAGGGCAACATGGTGAAACCCTGTCTCTAAATAATACAAAAATTAGCCAGGCATGTTGGCACACACCTATAGTCCTAGCTATGTAGGAGACTGAGGTGGGAGGATCGCTTGAGCCATGATCACACCATTGCACTCCAGCCTGGGCCACACAGCAAGACCCCATCTCAAATTACATATGTATTATATATATAATTTGATATATAAGATATATGATGTATACATAAATATTATATATATATATAATGTATATATAAATATGTATGTGCACACATATATATTTGTAAGGCCAAAATTTTCAGAGAAAACTAGGACCCCCATTATATAAATTAACCCCCAAGTTGCCTTTGCCCACCCAGGAACTTTTCCTTGACAGCCTTACAAAGCAAAGTGGACAGAAATCAAATCTTGAGGCCCCCAACTTGCTTCCCCATCATACTGAGAGTAAACCCAGAATTGCAACTGAGCCAGGGTTCAAATTCCCCGGGGTTGACCATGGAATCTTAAGCCTTTCACTTGGCTTAAGGGATCCTGAATGGGCAGTTCCCCAACGCCCACTCTGGCAGAACCCAATGCTAACCCTATCAGGAGAGACTCCTTCCTCATACAGGTACTTTTTAAAGCATGAGGGCAAGCACATCATCAGAGATAACTGGGCGCACCAAGAAACAACATTGCAAGAGAAACAATGAGCAATAGCGACAGGTCATGCAGTCTTCCGGCGCTGGAATTGTTAGCCAGACATCATAAAATAACCGTACTTACCAAATTTAACGAAATAAGAAGTCATGGTGGGACAGCTGCAAAGAACAGGAAACTGTATAAAGTGATGTTGCCAACTTACTCTATCTGGTAAACCCAATAGAGTATC